AGGTTGCTGTGAGCTGTAATGCCACAGCACTCTGCCCAGGGGGACAGCTTGAGGCTCTGTCTAAAAAAAAAAAAAAGTAGCAGGGTGGGGGGAAGGCATGTGGCTGGTGGATCCCGAGTCGCAGTCCCACCAGACCCTGAGTCCTTGTACATTTCAGGTGATGGCCGACTCCACAAGGCAGTGAGCCTGGGCCGCAAGGTGCACATTATTGAGGAGCTCCAGATCTTCTCACCAGGAGAGCCTGTGCAGAACCTGCTCCTGGACACCCACAGGGTGAGCAGGTGATGGGAGTGTCCAGACAGCGTGCTTGGGGGGTGTGGTGCCTCTTCATCCCCACCCAGCTTTTTCTTCCTTGCTGAGCAAGATGGGAAGACAGCCTGTAGAAAGTGGGATGACAGAGGACCACTGGGGATGGTAGTGGGTGGCATATAGAGAGAGTGGTGGCCCTGGCTGTCCAAGCCTGCCTCTCAGCCCCCTGCATCTGGCTGTGCAGGGCCTACTGTATGCTGCCTCATACTCGGGTGTGGTCCAGGTGCCTGTGGCCAACTGCAGCCTGTACCAGAGCTGTGGGGATTGCCTCCTCGCCCGTGACCCCTACTGCGCATGGGGTGGCTCCAGGTGCAGGCATGTCAGCCTCTACCAGCCTGAGCTGGCCTCTAGGTAAGCCCCGCCAAAGGCCCCTTCCCCTGTTGATCTTGATACTGAGCTGCAGAGCACCTGCGTAGGCCTCTGTGGGCCAGCACAGGGCCTCTTGTCCACTCACTGTTTGAGCACAGTTATTAGCTAGTTCCTCTACTTACTCTCACAAGTACTGTGGCTCAGACTATAAATTAAATGTCTGGGCTCGGCGCCTGTGGCTCAAGTGGCTAAGGCGCCAGCCACATACACCTAAGGGGGCCCTGAGAGACATCCGGGTAGCGTGGCACCATTTCAGAGCTTCATGAAACTGTAGGTCGCATGGAAACTGGCTGCAGAAAGCCTGCTGTCTGCTGCTCTGGTGTACTTTGCTCAGCCAGGACATCCTGAGCATGGCAAAAGAGTGCTAAGGAGAAGGAAGTGTGGTCCCTGTTCTCGAGGCCTATATGTGCACAACAGTGGTGGGTGGGCAGGGACCCAGCGAGGAAGCCCTCTAAGCCCTGGCTTCTCCACACCCTGGGCTCTGTCTATAGGCCTTCAGACCAGCCAGCTCTACAGGGCTTAGGGGATGTGCCTGAGCTACCCGGGGGACAGATGGCACTGCCCCTTTCATGCTAGCTGCCCTGCAGAGCTAGCCTCACTGTGACTTTCTCCTGTAGTGTATCACCAACAGTGTCCGGGAAAGGAAGATCAACTCGTCTCTGCAGCTCCCAGACCGCGTGCTGAACTTCCTCAAGGACCACTTCCTGATGGACGGGCAGGTCCGCAGCCACCTGCTATTGCTTCAGCTGCAGGCCCGCTACCAGCGTGTGGCCGTACATCGTGTCCCTGGCCTGCACCGTACCTACGATGTCCTCTTCCTGGGCACCAGTGAGTGGCTTTAGTAGCAGGATGGGGGGCTCGGCGCCTATAGCTCAACTGGCTAAGGCGCCAGCCACGTACACCTAAGGTGGCGGGTTCGAATCCCCAGCCC